AAAACCAGTCTCCTCTTGGCTTATATCGAAATCCTCCAACATTTTTCTTTACAAATCCTCATTTTGTGCTTCTAATTCGTGAACGGCGTTTTGTTTTTTCTCCGCGTTCATCACTAATCACACAATGCTGACGTCTTACATCATCTGCCACAGTGTGCCAGGAACTTGGGCATTCTGTTTGACTCCAGTTTAAAGTTTGATAAACAGATTTCAGCTGTAGTCATATCACGTTTTTACCAATTTCGTCTTCTCAGTAAATTTAAGCCCTTTCTATCTAGGAAAAAATCTTAAAACAGCTGTCCATGCCTTTGTAACATCTCAGCTTGATTATTGTAACTCTTTGTACTTTGGTGTTTCTCGGTCTTCCATTTCTCGTCTTCAGTTAGTTCAGAATGCAGCCGCTAGCCATTTTACTCCTATTTTAATGTCCCTACACTGGCTCCCTGTCAAGTATAGGATTGATTTTCAAATCTTATTATTTGCCTATAAAGTCCTCAATAACCTGGCATCTTAAAGGGATACTCCACCCCAAAATGAAAATTTTGTCATTAATTACTTACCCCAATGTGATTCCAAACTCGTAAAAGATTACATCAGTGGTTCAACCGTAACGTTATGAAGCGACGAGAATCCTTTTTGTACGTGAAGAAAACAAAAATAATGACTTAATTCAACAATTTGTCTCCTCTGTGTCTTTCCGCATCACCGTAGCACCATTTTGGAGAATATCCGCTGAACGCAAACTGTGTACGCTATTCTGTGTCAGCCGCGTGTATTTCTACGTGTATTTACGCTTTGATTTAAACAAAAACAGCGCATCCGTGCAGCGCGGCTGAGACAGAAGAGCGTACGCTGCTTGCGTTCAGCAGATATACTCCAAAATGAGAGTTGAATAAAGTCGTTATTTTTGTTTTCTTTGCTTACAAAAAGTATTCTCGTCGCTTCATAACGTTACGGTTGAACCACTAATGGCAGATGGACTATTCTGACGATGTCTTTCATACTTTTCTGGACTTTGACAGTGTAATTTACTTGGCAGTCAATGGGACAGTCACAAGCGGTTCGTTAAAAACGGTTCTCATCCAAAATATCTTAAATTGTGTTCCAAAGACGAACAAAGCTTTAAGGGTTTGGAACGACATGGGGGTAAGTGATTAATGACAAAATGTTCATTTTGGGGTGGAGTATCCCTTTAATACTTAACCGATTTACTGTTTTCGTATACCCCTTCTAGAACCTTGAGATCTTGTGACCTTGGCCTACTCATAGTCCCTAGAGTTAAACGTAAAAATTGTGGTGATCGTGCCTTTGCTACTGCGGGACCGAAGCTTTCAAATAGCCTTCCTCCCTTTATCAGACGTGTCCCATCAATAAGTATTTTTAAATCTTATCTTAAGACATTTTTTTCACCCTGGCTTATAACACTCCTTAGTATGTTTCCTGGGTTTTTTGCTGTACTCTGTTGATCTTATTTGTCTGTTGATTTCCTTGTTATCCTTTTATTTTATTTGTGTTTTATTCGTTGTAAAGCACTTTGGTCAACCTCGGTTGTGCTTAAATGTGCTCTATAAATAAACATTGTTGTTGTTGCTTTATGACATGCTTTTTTTAGGCGTTAAATAATGGCGCAAATACCAGTAATTTGACGAGCACAAACGTTAGTAAATCTCATTGCGTGATTCATTTAAATGCTCTCCTCCCATAAATGTTTTGTTTGAAAGGGAAAGTCCTACAAATGCATATTCAATAAGATCAGGCGCAAAAATAACTGTCCACACCTTTTCAGCGCTAATTCTTCACTGTGCATCTTTAGTAAATCCTGACAGTGCTATTTTAATGCCAAAAGATGGTTGCGCTGGTGCAAGCTGTTAGTAAATCTGGCCCTTAGTTACAAACTAGTAGTTACTAAGCCTCTAGTGTGGACCGCATATTTCATTTAACAGTCGCATCCATTACTGTGTAAAACTTTATTTTTGTAGGATGCTGCATCGGTTTATTCAGCATAGTGAAGCCTCTTCTCCATTGACATCCATTCAAAAAATGGCCTCTGAGCTATTGGTTGCTTTTTGTTTTCTTCTTGACTGACTTTACTGAAATTTAGGGCTTAATGACATTTTTATACTGTTGCATGCATGTCTGTTAGTTTACATGGCAAATTTTGGGGTGTTTGGGTAAATTTTGGTTTCAATCTGTTGGTTTACAGGTCTGCTGCCGTCTTTGGCTGGTCCTGAAGTGATCACTGAGGCCAAAACCTACACCAAGCTGATCATTAAAATGTCTGACCTGGAAAAGGATGATCAAGTGATTATTAAAAAAAAAGATAAGTTGATTGCACAGTACTTCTGTCATGCAGGGAACTGTCAGAATGAGCCAAACACTGTGGGCCAACTGAGAGAGCATTCGGGGTATTTGGTTCTGATCATGCGGAATATCAGTCCATTCGATCGGTTTGATGCATTTCACAATCTAAAACCAATTCTACGGAACTTCACTCTTGATGAAGGTGAGAATTTTTAAAATCTGGTTGATTTAATTGCAACAAAAAATTGTAAGAGTTCAAGTATAAGTTACTCCTATAATTCTTGTTTAAAAAGTTTACATATATTAGAGATATACATAGAAATATGAACCAATTAAAACAATGCAAGTGAACAGCTTCAAGCTTCTCAAGTAATTAAAGTAAACTGTCTAAAAGAAGTAAACAATGCTAAAATATTCAGCTATTTATCAGGAGTAAACATTCAGAAATTCAGGAAAAACAATATAGAAGTTATCTTTTTTTTTTTTTTTTTATTAACTTGAAGTACTGGTACTTTTGAGATGATTAGCAATGTAAATAATGTTTTAATGAATGAATCTCTCTACGTCTCCTTTGGTACAAAGTTCTCCCGACCGCTGCAACACCTGATCTGACAGATGAAGCACTCAACCCAAGCATCACTCAGACAGATACTGACCGCCTAAACTCAACAACTTATCTGCCGTCACTAATATCACTAAACCGGTTCATTTAGCATTTTTGCCTTATTGTTTAAAAACTATTAAAAATTATTAAAAAATTTTAAAGTCCCCCTGTAGTCAAAAATGTTATCCCATAAAACTCATCTTTGATCATCAAAATGACATATTGAAATGTTTTTTCTTGTGAAAAAAATTCTCATGCCTTAAAATAGCTTGAATGTAACTATGCACCCTTGCCTCATTTACTATACGCGGATCTATGAATATGCAAATTAGCCCCGCCTCCACTCAGTCACACTAGCCAGGACCTCCTGATCCACCAAACTGAACTGTAGAAAACGTGATACATTGGCAAGTGGAAATATTGGTTTAATTAAGCCATAATATGTTTGAACCAGAAACAAGCTGGTATGCTCAACGTAAGCAAGGAGACTGATGGCTAACTTCGTGTGGTAACATTATCTGCTTGCGCTGGTTCGTACACGGATAATGACTGATAAAACAATTTTTGCTAGCAGACAACTACAGTGGATACTGTAACATTCGTTTAAAGTTACTTACTTGACGACGTTGTGTCCTCAAAATGCCTGAAGACTCGAATGCAGCCAAGTTTATGATTCCAATTCGCGCCCACGATTATACGCATGTGACGTGCAGATGTCAATGCGGGAGAGGTGCATTTGACTCCGGGCTACTTTTACACTGCTGCCGCGGGTCATTATTCAAGTTAGTGGTTCACGGTTTCACTGTTATTGTGAAAATAGTGAAAAATATCAACAGCTAGCGAAACATCTACAGAAAAATATACCGGATTAACCTGGCTGCCTTCTCACTAGAACCCCTGGTTTGCAGCAAGTTAATGATATGCTAATGATAGGATTCCTTCACGTGATTGGTTATTCACTTTTGTGACATAGCAAAAAAAAGGGCTGTTTCAAACAGCTTTCTGGGACTGCCTTTGGGAAACTACAGTTTTAAGGAGAAAATACTCAGCAATGGTGTTGATTAATGGATTGGCACGTGGTTTATCTAAAAGCATATTAAAAACACCACATAGACAAATAAACAACATAAAAAAA